ACGACGGAAACAACGTAAAAAGAGGAGACTACAGAAAAGAGGGACTCTTACAGTTCAAGAAGCCCAAGAACTAGATAATCAGACATGTCGTGGTGCTCAGGAACTGCAGGAAGATAGTCAAGATGGTGGTTTAGTAGAGGGTACTCAACCAACTCGTCGACGCTGTAGAAAATGTAAGGGGATAGGCCATAACATGAGAACATGCTCAAAAGATCAAGATGACTCTGTAGAATAACCCTATAAACTTGGAAATTTTATTTCTCTTCATGTTGTTGAGTTATACGTGTTCTGACCTAGTTGGGTCGCATGATGCGCACCGCTCGCTTGTCCGCGCCGCTCGCTTATCAAGTACGTTAGTGCTAGTTATCATATAATGTAAAGCACTATTACAGCACTATTAAAAAAGTTATTTCTTGCTTGTTACAACTATCGCTTCGGAGTGTTCCTATTCAGAAAAGGATAATGCTTCCCGGCTTTCCCGAAATAGTATAGAGCTTACCTCGTCTTGCTCTTTCGTATATGTTAACGGTAGCAACCTCCTGCCTAACTCCCTCGAACGACAATGATTTCCGACATGAATTGCCGATCACTGGGTCCTCTGGACCATAACGCCCCGCACAACATTCCCCAGAGTATGATTTTTCTGAGTCTGAAGCAGGATGTTCGGCCGAGCGATGCATTCACTCAGCTCCAAGATGGATTGCGTTTGACTTTGCAGCGCATGCCTTGGCTGGGGGGAACAATACATTGGCAATCGCCAGAAACTCCCGGATGGCGCCCCGGTACGCTAGAGATTCGCTACCCAAATTCAATCGCGAATACGGACTTGTTGCGGCTGAAAGAGCTCAACACGTCCAAATCATACGGCCACCTCCGAGATGCCGGCTTTCCGCTGGACGCGTTCGACGATGAGGAAATCATCTGGACTAGGCCGTGGAGCTCGAATTTCCATGAAGGGGTGCCCGTCTTTGCGGCCCAGGCGAATTTTTTACCGGGAGGTTGTATTCTTGCTTTCTCCATCCCATCGCCAGCGTCTGACGGGACCGCTATGCTTATGATAATCAACCTCTGGGCCGATTTCTGCAGCGGGGACCCCATTCTTGCGAGCCAGATGTGGAACCTCGCTAAGGGCTCAGCAGTCGAGGATCATAGCATCAGCCGTTCCCTCCTTGACCAAGTGCTCACTGAAGAATCAATACCAAAATCTCAGACTGGGCATCGCACGTTACATCAACTGGTTGGTATGGATCCAATACCAGATCAGGATACCAGATCCGACGGAAATGCCATGCAACATGTCATCTTCTACATGCCCCATAAGGCTTACACGGCCCTTCGGAAGGATTGCGTCGAGCAGTACGGTGATAGGGCTATCACCGGCAATGATCTCATCTGCGCCTTTATCTGGCGTAGTCTCATGAGGGCGCAAAGAGCCACTAAGGCCCATGAGTTCAAAGAGAATTCCTCGACGATGACCGTACTTCTACGACCGTTTGATGCACGACCGCACGTCGCCAAGCTGCTTCCGAGCATGTACTTGGGCAACCTCAACTTCGAGAGCAGGATCACCATGCCCCTTAGCAGCCTCGTCGATCCGAACACGAGTATTCCCTCCATTGCGCATATAATCTCGAAAAGCTTGGATATTCAGACTACACAAGACAATCTTGCAAACGCATACAGGCTTCTGCGGTCTTCTCCGGACTATGGCCAAGTGCAGTGGGGAGCTACGCATGCAACCGGCACTACAGTAGGCATCCTATCACCCATTGTCCTTCCTTTCAACGATACCTGCTTCGGTATGGATGTTTTTGGCAACGGTGGCAGGCCGGATGCTTTTCGCCCGATCATGGGCGCCTCCAACCGGCCCTTTCGTACGAGCTTCGTGATTCCTCGCAAGAAGCACGGGGGTGTCGAGTTTGTCATGACTGTCTCGACCGAGGAGTTGGGCTTTCTGTGCGACGATGCGGAGTTTAATCGTTTTGGGTTTTCCCTCCAGCAGTAATGGCAGGCACCGCGAGCCCTTTTCCAGACTGAACCGTTGTGTAGTAGGGTACAAGCCGGGCATTGTAGGACACTTCGCTCGGAGGGGTGATAACAAGTGTCAAAATGAACCCGTCGGAACAAGTGGCACATCTCGGCGGTGGATATCGTTAGTAGAAGGGACCTCTGAATATACATGTTAGTAGAAAACTTCGAGGTGTTGACGGATGCATGAGTCGAATAGACATTCTTATCTTTGGACGCGCACTGACGCTCATGACGGATTGATGATTGAATCAAATATAGAATCAAAGGCAGTTTTTATATGACCTGTGGGTGTGATGGCTTTGTTGTTGTTATGCTCTTTGAAAAGTATCTATGTTGAGCAACACGCTTGAATAGGCGAAGCCCGAGATCTAGAGAACACACCACCGTAAAAATCGCCCGACAGCGAAGGGTCCAAACTCACTCTGATTTCAGTCATCCTGCACCCCATTCAATCAGCTCTTCAGCTACGTTCCTGATTGATGAGACGATGCTTTTGACATCCGATCTGGTGAAAGGAATGTCATGGGCCCCTTTGTGTGTGTGTACCTGCGTCAAAGATGCCATACACAATTTCTTATGGAGCATGGCCAAAGCTGCTCCGAGGCTGAAGCCAAGGATACCATCAAAGGGTCCCTTCTCCCTGATGAACTGATCCAGTCGGTCGAGTGCATTCTGTACTTGTGGTGGACTGAAGCCGGCCGCATACGAAAAGAAAGGTCCTGTTGCCCAGTGTGGTACTCCTATATAAACGTGTTCGGTCAGTCATACAACCTGCCGAAGTCCTGCAGATGCAATGAACGGTGTCATACCCGGCCCTCTGCCACAGGGTATTTCTCCATCAACAAAAGTAAACTGATAGCTTGGGCCTAATTCTCTCATAAAAGGGGCAATTTGCTCTTTCAGCATTGACGCTGACGATCCGAGGCCGTGTAAGGTTAATATCTTCATGATAGTCATCAAACTGCCGGCCTCGAAAAGCAAAATCTCTCTCAAGCACCAGGAGCACGAGGATTCCGTCGTGGTTGCCTCGGCACCTACTCCCATAGACTGATTTGTCTTGAAAAGAGTCGATGGTCCTATGCATAAGCCGGTTATTGACCGCCCCACCCAAACGGATGTTACCACAAGAGTGAGGTCCGAATCTGCCTAATTTGTTACGGGAATGCCCATGTATAGGTGAGCTTTCAATATTTCAGTGGTACACGCGAGTGTACGCAAGTTACGCAAGGGCTCGAAGCATAGCACAATCAGGCATGCCTTCTCTTCTGATAGCCGCAGGCCTACTTTTGGCCTATGTCGTCTTTTTTTTCTTTTTCAGCGGTCCACGCCTCCCAAAAGGTTTCCCAATCATTGGCGCCAAAAAGACCGACTGGTTTCCATTATTGCAAGCAACATGGCGTAACTCATTCAACATCGCTGCTGGCATCAACGACGCCTATAGGAACCACAAACACAATGCTGCCATTATGCCCGTCATGGGCCTTGGAGCGGACACTCTGATCATGCTTCCCTCATCCGATTCGAAATTCATATCGGAGCAGGAACCCAAGGTGCTCAGTCTACGTGAAGTCATCATCAACGGACTGCATTACCGGTATACACTCTCTGACAAATATATTCTTACGCACCCGCTGCACAAGAAACTCATTACCACCACACTGACCAACCAAGTCGGAATACTTCTTCCAGAACTGGCCAACGAGACTACGGTGGGATTCGAGAGCCAGTGGGGCAACGATACAGAAGCTTTTCGCGAGGTCAACGTATGGGACACCGTAGGTCGCGTTATCGGATGTGCGACAAACCGCGTTTTTGTTGGCCTTCCAAACTGCCGTGATCCGAAGCTTCTCGACGCAGGCTACGCCTATGCGCGCTCGCTCCCAGTGAGCGCCACCCTGATCGGCTGGGTTTGGGAGCCTGCGCGACCATTGATTGCCCGGTTGATCGCGCTGCGAACGCGTGCCATGGAAAGACGCTTCGCGAAGGTCCTTTTGCCCGAGATCGAGCGCCGGCTTCGAGAGTACGATGACAAGGAGAAATCTGGTTCCAGCAAGAACGATTTCCTGCAGTGGAGTATAGCACAGGCCAAAGAGAGCGGCGATGCGGAGATGTGGAAACCAACTACCCTGGCAAGCCGTATCTTACTCATGAACATGGTCTCCATTCATACCTCCTCTATGACATTCACCAACGTCCTGCTCGACTTGGTATCCTCGAAGCCGGAATACATCGAAGAGCTACGCACCGAGGTATCCACGGTCCTCAGAGAGTCGAACGGCGTGTGGACCAAAGCCACACTTGCTCGCGCCATAAAACTCGACTCCGTCTTCCGCGAGAGCGCGCGTCTCAACACCTCGGTCGCTGTGGGTCTGCGCCGAAAAGTCATGGTCAAAGAGGGTATCACCACCCCATCCGGCGTGCACATTCCCTACGGCAACGTCTGCGCCGTTCCTAGCCTCGCCGTCTTGACAGACGAGACCATATACCCAGACGCGGACAAGTTCGTACCGTTCCGCTTCGTTGACCAACGCCACAACATCAACACGGGTGACCGACCCAAAGACCATGTGTCGAGCTCGCGGCTGTCTTTCTATGCTACCAGCACGGATTATCTTGCTTTCGGTAATGGCCGTCAGGCGTGTCCGGGACGATTTTTCGCCGCATGCGAGCTGAAGCTCATGCTTGCTTACATCTTGATGAACTACGACTTGGAGATGATGGAGACACGGCCCAAAGGTATCTGAGTCGGTGTTTTGAGGATGCCAGCCACTGGCGCTACTATCCGGATACGGAAGAAGAAGGTGCCACTTGCGCACTTTTCCACATTTGGTCTGGATGATGAATAAATGGTTAAGGTGGGAATACGGAGATACAGAATGTGCGTTTTTAGTAAGATCGCAACGATAGTAGAATGCTAGTGAACCAAAACCAGCAGTACCGCTCTTTTGGTCATTATATGAGATTCAAAACGCATGTCGCTTTGCCATATGAGGAACGGTGGTGACGGAGAGAAACAGAAAGAGTACATGTACTGTGTAATCAATGATGCGCACGGATGGTGCTTGGATGCTTACTAATTGAAACATGTGCGGTAACGATATCAATTGGGAGGGTGGCTACTCAGCCATGGCACTTACTCGCGCCACATGCCAATCGGAGGTTGCTGAGTAGTGCCAACGCATGTGGTGTGAGTAGAGGCAACGGGGTGGATTTCCTCCCTGTTCGTTGCACAAGGACTCTCCGTAAGCGGTAAGCAGGAATTTAGCCCTCTTACGCTTAGCTATCTATGCCTACAACGATTAGATCATATATGACAGAAACTTACGATCACGACTAACATGAGAGTTTCCAATCTATATAAGAAACCCGGCGGGAGGACGGGATCCTATTCCTTACCCGCGGTTATCCTTATGCCGGCTTATGCCGCCGATTTTATTGTAGCGTGCTGCACAGTGCGCACAGGCAGAGCTACTCCTCCTCTGATCACCTGGGCAACCCCAAGATGTTGCCGTTTCAGGAAGCATCCGCTTATACAGCGTCTGGCCATTTGTTCCGCATTGGGGTATTCGGTAGCCAAGAATTTCCCTCTAAGGTGAGAGCCGACCGGAATCACTAGAAGATGAGTTGGGGCATCCGAAAAGCTGTGAACATTCTCGACCTGCAGCTGCTGATGAGGGGATATCTTATGCACATTGGACTATTCAGTGATGCACGGAAAAATGTGGCAAGAATGAAGGAGGGCTTGGGACAAGATCCAGGAAGTTTGCCGTTCCAACGAACGGCGGAAGAGTTACATGGTGGAAATGACGGTCAAATTACTGCAAGTTGCGTATACTTAACATATGTGCTCCATCCAGATGTACAAGCTGCACAAGTGCCTCCGCTACGTATCAGAACTTGTGCGTGCCGCCGTCCAACTAAACTTTAGCATACCTTCTCGACATTATGCTACTATGATCTGGTAATCAACCTAACATGGCAATGTCTCGGCACCTTCAGAATGCGCTGGTGCGCCGCCAAACTGGCCAACTCGCCCGGCGCCGCCGCGAACTCAAAGTTCAGCACCAGCAAGGCCAAAATAATTCGAAACTCCTGCATAGCCAAGATCTTACCTACGCATCTTCGTTAGCTTACGCTCTCGGCTCTGAAGTAGCAGATCGTGTCGTTCAAGCGGACGTACCGTAACAAGCTCGCGGCCCCGCGGAAAATGCAAGACGCGGGTATCTCCGCCCATCGAAGCTCCCGTCATCTGCAAGCCAGCGCTCCAGCTCCCAGACGTCCATGTCGGAGGACTCATGGAGCAGTGGATAATTGTCTTTGGTTCTCTGGGATGACAAGCTCCGGTGCGCTTCCGGGACATTGAAGGGCGCGGCGCCGACATAAGGACTCAGCATGACCGAGGCCCCTCCAGGAATTCGATAACCGAAGAGTTCAGTGTTCATCGTGGCTACGCGCGCGAGGCGGGAGGAGATGGTGGCGTGGCGGAGTGTTTCTTCCATGCAGGCGTCTAGGTAGGGGATTGAGCGTGAGAGGATGGCGTCCACTGTAGGCTGCGCGCCATGGACTCGTTCAGAGAAGCCTTCCAGAAGGGAGTCGTGCAAGCGAGCTTGCTTCGAGGGATGGGCTGCTAGGTACTTGATCGCCCAGGACAGTGCGCTGGCGTTGGTTTCGTGTCCCTGGAATACAGAGGTGAGCTTCAATCTCTTTCGTTGGAATGTTCATTCGTAGTCCAAGAGCTTACCGCCATCAGGAGCATCATGAGCTCGTTATGGATCTCCTGTTGAGTCGTCGACGGTATGTTCTTCGAGGCTCCTAAGTCTCCTTCCTGAGCCAGAAGATATCGACGTACGCCCAGAACCACACCACTAGTTTCCTCGGTGTCCAGCAACGCAGACCTGGAAAGTTTTGACAGTCGTGCATGCTCGCCGTTGATCCTCTCATCCACAATGCGCTGCTTTGAATCCCATTTCCGCTTATATGCAGATCCATGTCGGACGAGCCAGTGGTTAAACCTTTGGAAGTATGTCGTGAAAGTCTGTTCGATGCCTTTGATGACGAAGCAAACAGTGGTGTACATCTCGGGCTTTGGAACCATGGGCATCTCAGCAACAGAGTCCATGGACATAGGCTGCTTGATTTGTCCGGATCCTTTCAGAATTCCCTCGTGCTCACCCCTCACTCCGTTCAAATCGTTCCCAAATACTACCTTCCATATGATATCGAAAGCCGCCAAATCCAAGTCGGTGAAGAAGTAAACCGGGCGTCCGCCAGCTATTTTGGCCTTGGTTCGAAGCAGCTCAATTAGCTCCAGAGCCACACGGTGCATCTCGGGAGCTGCGACCCGCCGTATGAAGCTCATGCCCATGAATCCTTCCCACAGCTTCCTCTGAGCCTTGAACTCAGGGCCCGTGGCCTTGACCAAGCTTGAATGTCGAAGCATGGGACGAAGCGTATCCTGGCTCTTGTACGAGCGGTCAAATTCTCTAGTACGAAAACTCAGAATGTCCTTGACCTCTCTCACATCGTCGACAAAAATGGCAGGCTTTGTAAAGGGGCCGAAGAAGAGTTGAACCACAGGAGAGCCTAGCGTTCTGCATTGCTGAAAGACAAATCTCGAGGGGTCTTCGCTTATCTTTATGGCTTTCATCATCGCTGGAACATCTCCCCAGATCCGCTTCGAGGACACTTTGTGATAAGGGATCTTTGGGTACGGCTGAGGAAATGCTCGTCTCGTGATTTCGCAGAGTAGTGCCAGTAAGGCAATCACGATTAGATAAATATTTTCCATGGCTGATTTTGATAAAGAGGTGCGCTACCAGAAAAGCTTCCGCTCACTGAGAATCGGGAGTGTGACAGATGCGGCGCTTGAGGGGTTTGAACTCCACTGAGCCTTGGGGATGATGTAGTGTAAGGTCGTGCGACTGCCTAATCGGGCAATATCCGACGGACCTGGTCTCCCTTGGAACGAAAAACGATAAGTCTCACTCAGCTCTGGAAGTTGTACAATCTGGTTTGACATCAACATACTACACGAAGTCAGTAGAAACGCCATTGAACAAACCTTCGTGCCGCAATGTCATATCTTGCTTCCACCTATCGCGCCTGGCTGGATTGTATCAGCCAACGAGAATGGAACAAGCTTACCTCATACATGCACTCAAGTTACGATTATAACGGGAAGCAATTCACACCCACCGAGTTTGCGGGGTGGGTGGAAAAAGAGGGTTGTCGCTTCTCGGACTATCGCATCACCGTGGATACCATTCTCGTGGATGATGTTGCGCAATGCATCGGATGCCGTATTTTTGGCAAAGGACGACCTGCGGACAGCATGTTTGGCTGTAGTCCAACAGAGAAAGATATCTATTTCGTCGAACATCATCTTGTCTGGTTCACACAAAGCAAGATAGCGAAAACTCTGTACATCCTCGACATTGGCAGCATTCACCAACAGTTTCAGTCCACCGAACGATATATGCCTGACCTCATAAGCGAATTTCTGGCACCATCTGCGAAAGTTCTATCCACCTGCGAGCTTGAGAAGGCAATCAGAAGGTTCTTCAGTTCCATAAGCACTCGAACCATGGCGTCGGAATTGCCAGAGATAGTCCAGTCGGAATTGTGGCGGGACGGCGTCAAGATGCCACTAGATGTCTATCTAGGATTAATCGAGAAGAGTATCGCGGTCATGCCGGACGTCTAACCCCAAGTCTGCAACATAGTGTGCGACCAGAGTACACAGCGCGTCTTTGTCCGGCTAGAACTCCATTTTACGCCAACCAAGGAACTGTTGGGACAGGACCCAAGCAGTCAGGCAGTCAGATTGGCAGAACATTCCATTTACCAGTTTGAAGGCGGCAAGCTTATCAGGATGTGGACGATTGTAGACTGGGAGGGATTGCGAAGACATATGGTGGCGCACTAGAGGTCTTCTTGGTTTGAAAAGAAGAATTGTTCGAGAATGCCTCCGCAAAAAATGGGGTTTGGTGACGAAGCGAGATATGTTGAACATGACGAGAGAGCGCAAAAATGCGGAAAATGACCCGGATGATGCCCGAGATGGGTAGCTGCCACATTAAAGAGAAACAAATTTTGATTTAAAATCTGCCATGTAGTACTCTTTGCATTTTCAACAAGCCGAGTCTCTTACTAAGGTTCTAAAACTCCGGCAACAGTAGTTGGGGAGCTTGATTCATATGTTTACTCTTTTTTAGCGGGCAGTGAATTTTCACATCCGCGGAATAACGAAGTGGAAAACGTTAACTCTGCAACCCCCTGAACTCTTCTCAAAACTTCGAGACAACTTTCAGTCTAGAAGCTTGATCAGTTCGGTCGTCGCGGACCGCTGGCTTACAGTACGCTGTGAACCCGTTGCTCAATTGGTGCTCGAAGCAACGCGAACCCATGCGCCTCTACGCCCCGGGGCAAGATGCGCGTCGACTTTCTTGAGAAAATATACGGCCGGCCCGATGGACAAGACTCCTGATGCATCTTTTGGCTGAACGGCGACACAGAGAGCCAACTGGCGCTTGTCTCGGCACTCTCGGAATTCCCTTGATTACTCTCTAAACTCCAACTATCTGAGTATTCCGCGGGCCCCAAGCCATACTATAAAATCGAGCAAATCTCCGATGCAGTTTCAATAGTAGGAGATTCTCCCGTCAGGCGGAAACTTTGTCCACTGAGCGCACTTGCCAGGACTCTTGTACACAGGATCCTCCCCAGGACAACGGCACCAATAAACCCCTTCTCTGTCAATTTCGCATGACTGAGCTGAAGGTGTCTGTTCATATGCGTACGGACAGTCAGGGGCGCCATACGACAAACGCAAAATCTCCTCCACAGTGGCATCCTTCGCAATTTCGCCTCTCGCAGACGGATTGCTAGACTTCAAGTCGAAGAACGTCTGGATATGCATTTCCAGATCGTAGGTGGTGTCTTCTGCGTTGTAGTTTGCACAATAAGATTGATATTGCTGTTTCTCATCTGTTTGATTGACTTTCCATGACCCATCGTGTGGACCTGAAAGGCCGTGCTCGGAGAGGCGCACATCGCCAGCAAATCCAGACCATGCAAAATCCGTGGAAACAGTTGCTTTGACGTCTTTCTCGAGCGCTGTAGGGGCATCGATGTTGAGCGAGCCGAATGTGAGTCTGCGATTAGGAGAGACGCTGAAGGAGATTGCCAAATAGCATCTTTTTCTGTTTTCAGCGGATGGCACGCCGGGGCCGATTGATGCGAGGGATCCTGATTTCGTATCCAGAAGTATCTTTACTCCCGTCTGGTCTGGAAGGACCGAGATTTGAGGATTGAAGGGACAGTTTCTGGAATCGATTTTACCCAGCTGAAACGTGACGTTCTTTTCTGGCTCCCCTAGGTTATCTGCCGTTGCCAAGTACGGGAAGAGGGCTGTTAAAGCAAAAGCAAAAAAATCAAGCCGCATAGTTGCAGGTTATGCCACCTTTGAAGGGCCAATCGAGGAGATTCTGATGTTGAAGTGCCAAAGTTGACTCTTCGGATCTGTAAACTTATATAGTTCGCGTTGAAAGCCTGTAACTACCACGGAACAAGCACAACCACACTGTATGCAACTGTTTCATTGCATATATTAGTACTTAGTACAACTTCCTATAAGTATCGCTGTACCCCGCTTCGCGGACATCTCTTCGATTTTGCAAACTGAATTTGCCGGAACTTCGAGCCAATCGTAGGGGAGGAACAGCTTAGAAACTATTTATAAAGACGCAGCAAGTGTCCTAAATAGGATATTTGGCGAAATAGCCTGTGAAACAACATTTAGTCGTGTTATTGGCTCTTCAGCTCTAATTGATTACTACCCAACGAGGTAGGAGGTGGACTATAGGTCTTTTGCCGTCTAGATTAGGGAAATGACGACAAGGAACATTTACTTACATTACTTTGAAACCTCTCCACTGAGATCTCGTGTTATGCAGTTCTCCAAGTAGATGTTCCGGTGCAACCTTCTTTGTCGGTCTATTCTCATAGGCGGAGGCAAGATTACCCATATTCTTAGAGAAATGACGCTGAAATAGGCTATCAATAAGAGTTGGAACTGGTGCAATATATCGCCACTGTTGAGTTCAGTTAGTAGGTTAGAAATCGTCATCGCAGCGAGCCAGCTACCCTATAAGTACCGGCGAAGCGACAAGGACGCCCCTCACCTCCAGCAGCCTGATCCTTCAGCGCATATACAATGATCGCTATCTTTGCTGTATTTCTGCTTTCCGCAGTTGTATCGGCGCACTGTACGGTCCACCTACAGACTTTCATTTGCACGATTTCTGTTACTGACAGGAGCTTAGATGAGTTTCCTCGACTAAGTGTGAACGGTGGTCCATACTCGGAGAACTGGGAATACACGCGGTAACCAACCCAATGAGTCTCAACTCCTATCCATCATCTGACGCCACATCTCACTATAGCAAGCTCGCCAACACCAGCGCAGATCCTGGATATGATACCAGCTTCTATCCTATGCACGATGCCTACAGTGTGGACATACGCTGCGGTAGAAACGCTTCGCACCCCCCGTTTCTGAACCCTCAGCCTGTGAAAACCGCAAAGGTTCGCGCAGGTGACCACCTCAGCATGACGGTTGGTCCCGAAGGGTCATCCATTATCGGCCACCCCGGGCCCGGCATGTTCTATCTAGCTAAGGCACCTGAGGGCGTGGACTTGAATGATTGGGATGGTGACGGAGACTGGTTTAAGATTCGCGAGCTTGGACCTGTTAAAGAGGCAAAAGCGACCTGGGAGGTGGCCCCAGGCTCGAATTCGATGAATGTCACCATTCCTCAGACCGTCCCTCCTGGGAAATACTTGCTCCGCACTGAACATCTCTATCTCAAGTCTGGAATTGGACAAACCGATTATTACGTGTCATGCACTCATCTGGAAATCGAAGGCCCTGGAGGTGGTAAGACAGCCTACACTTCCCATTAACTGATGATATGGACTTTGATTTGCCTGGGACGGGGCGCTAACGGGAATCTCTAGGTACTCCGGGCCCTACGGTCAAATTTCCTGGCGCATATGACAACTGGGATATCAGTATTTGGCCGCCTTTCAGGATTAAATGGGAGACAGACTTATCCGGCTATAAGGCTCCGGGACCCGATGTGTGGACTGGTTAGAGAAGGGAAAGCGTGGTTGCAAGCGCAAGAGTGTCGCTGCAGAGGTTGAAGAAAAGGCGGGCGCGTTAGCACCAATGAATGAGGTACCGCAGATGGTCAGATGTAAGCATACCGATAAAAAAAACTAGAAGAAAATTGTGATACCAAACACAATCAATTTCTATCTAATACCTGCCCCAGATGCTGCCCTTTCTCATTTTGGCCTCGCATAATAGGATTTCGCTCATGCCAATCACTTGTTTAGTACGTTGCCATCTTTGTCAACATGATACCCCATGGTCCAGAGATGGAGGGCCATTCCCGCCTTGGCAATGTTATCTGTGACCAGCCATTAGCTTACACAGAAAGGTTTCCTTGGATACACGATATGATACGGTCTATACTTACCAGCATTTTTGGGGTCTTTGATTAGTTGTACACATTTCCAACCATAGCATGACTCAGCGCCGGCGGGTCGGTCTGCTGGTAGAGTGTCAATCGTTCTACCACCCTGCTTCGTATGGGTCAACTATATCAGTTAGCTCCTAGTACTATTTTGAAAGTAATTGAGAATGGCACCTCATGAAGCAGTGTATATCCCGTATCGACCAGACCATCAACCGGGAGCGCGATATCCGAAAGGCCATCTTTGAACCCGGGCTGCTGCGTCTTTGTGATCTGGTCCTTATCAATTCTAGGCCATCCTCGACCGGCGGAGCGATGTAGAAGCCACGGGCAGATATCAATAGTGTCTGCGACTTTTGGCTGTGCGACCATGTATGGGGACATGTCAGGGGGTTTGCCATCCTGGTTATACTTTTTTTTATCGAAGAGGTCGGAGGGGGTCGTGAGTGCAGTCGGTTTTTTCTCGTTAACATTGTTGAGATCATAGTCGGTTTTGTAACATGCCCCTCGAAGTTTGTCGTCGTCGAAACTTGATGCGGAGAAGAGTTTGTTATTCATTGAAGTATCCATTAGCTGGGTACTGCCTTGCTTGGGCTTGAAACGGTCCTTGCTGCAAAAGATCATCTAAAAAACACTACGTTAGCTCTGCCGCAGACAACGGATTATCAACTTACGACATCGTTGTTAGTCATGGTATTTTGCCATTCCTGATCGAGTGGGCCGGGGCCCGCTTTCTCTTTTTCGAAACCAGCTACGTTTGCAAGAATTCCTAAGAAGAATGAATTAGCCCCAGGACAACTTCAGGACTCACGAAAATCAACCTCGATCCAGCTTCCTCTACTACGTACTTTTTGTCTCATCGACCTTTGCCTGGTAGTCATTACCATCTCCATATATCAATTTCATCATCCCTGAGACGTGTTCATCGTCTGCGTGTTCGTTCAAGACCTTCACTGCATTTTCGGCCATAGTGATGGCTTCTGCCATAGCTTTCTTAAGCTCGTCGACTGCGTTCAGCGGGCTCCTTTGCGAAAATGGTACATTATCTACATGCCTTTGTTAATATCGTAAGGTAGATAGTGATATTCGATAGACGACTAACCACAACCGCTATCAATGGTCCATCTCGCAGCGAAAGTAGGTCTCCCCCACAGCATAAGAAGGGGGAGAGAGTAAATGAGGTACATTGTGGCAGGTATAATTCAGAGTCCAGAAAATCGTATATTGCTAGAAGACATACAGCAACATGGTGTCCAATGGCTCCCTTTTTAAACATCTACAGACCGCTAGCTGTTGCGGATTGAGGCTTACATGCTACGTATATCGAGAGCACACCAATACGAAGGATGAGGCCAGAATCGAAGTCAAGCTCTCCTGCAAGGCACACTTCTGTTGATTCTAAATACAGATATATCAAACTTAGGAATGGAGTAGCAGGATCATGTTATGTTCGCCATATGCCCCCGTCACTATGCCCGGGGCAGTTCGAAACACGGCTAGGAATGAACTAAACGCCCATAAGCATGCTCTTAGACAAAATGCTGCCCAGAGGGAATCTTATGGAGCTGGGGCGGCTGTAACTGATGCTCTGCGCTAGAGTGTCAAAGATACCCTAAGGTACTCGTAAGCATACCAAAACAATACTCACCTGACACACTCAACTGGTGGTGAGAAGAGGCGGTGCACAGTAAGCGTGGCAGCTCGCCTCATACCTTTTTCCTAAGAGGTTCTAGAGTCGGGCGGGGTGAGCACAGGTGAGATAGCTTGAAACGGGGCAATCATACCTGTTGGGGCAATGGTATTGAAACGGGGCGAACCGTCTAGGCAAAATAGTTGTTATTATTTCTAAACCATCAGATAGCATCCTCCCTCTTGAAAATAAATCTAGATCATGCTTACCGTTCAAGGCGCAAGGGCTTAGCCACATCTTACCGAATCTAGTAACTCCAACGCGCCCCCACCCGGATCCTTTATCCTCATGGGCGACAGGCGGATACTCTAGGTTTGTCGATGTGTCTCTATCCGGATCCTCCATCCTTAGGGGCGAAAGGCAGATACTCTAGGTTTGTCGATGTGTCTCTATCTGGATCCTCCATCCTTAGGGGCGAAAGGCAGATACTCTAGGTTTCTAAATGTGACCAAAATAACACATCCTAAATTAGACTAGAGTTGTCGAATCAACTCTGGCATTTTTAACTGCTACGTGTTGTGGATATGCGCTAAGGTGCACAGATTTACGTATATATACTACAAGAACCACCTTGACGTCTTCATTAACTCTTGTTTGAAATCAACTATTTTGGTCAGAACACCACCAATATTGAGTTTGTTACCTCCACCTCCGAACAATGAGGTGGATCATTCCGTTTACCGTAGCCGGCCTCGCAGCCGTTGGGTCCGCAGACCCTGAAGTTTTTGATTTGGGGAAATTGGATCAGTACATGTCTAAAGAGGTACCTCCCTTAACCTCACCGCGGAAATATGAAATCCTCATACGTTTTAGGGAGAGGCTGGCACTTTGAGCGGGAATACCATCTGGCTCTCTGGCACCGACGAAGATGAGAACCTCCGCATGACCGTTTCCGACGACGTAAAGGCGAAGATTCAAGGTGTACTAGAGGGCTGTGGCCAGCTAGACGACAAATGTTATCACGAAGTCCGCCAAGTGCTTCGATCGGCCAACGTCGAAGTGAATAAAAAGTTGGAAGCCCGACATTTCGGTCACTTGCTCTCGAAGACGTTCAAAACAGGTGCTGGCGTCTTCCTTTCCTTCGCAGATTACCTATACACGTCGTGGTGGGCCCGTTATAATGATTTCAACAACGTCTCACCCAATTTTATCATACCGAAGCCGAAAGCCAGTGAGGTTGAAAAGGTAGCCTCTGCCACTGAAGTAGTCGTCTCGGCGGAAGGGGCATCTGTCGCTAAAATCACACCGACGCCGGATCCGACATCAGCTCAAGGGTAGGATACTCTGTCGCCCCCAGAATTTCTGTAGTAGCTAACAGGAATCGGCGTCAGACCAGTTCCATCTGTCACCTCTGTGACAACTGCGCATGATGAGTACAAACAAGGAGATCTAGACTTCATGATGGACGAGGGCCTTGCCGGTCGAATGCAGGAGATTATGGCGCGCAGCAAAGATTGCGAGGATGGTTCCAAATTCGATCGAGAGCATCCTTCAAAGAGACGCGCTTCCTCAAGACTCGGTAAGGCGATATGCGCATATCGTGCTGTCACGATCAACATGGGCACCACTTTGAGAGACCTTACCTACACAAATTTTGATGGTTTGGTTGTTAAGTTTGCAGGGGTGACCGAGCAGGATATTGCCGCCTGGGAGTACGTTCAAGGAATAACGGAGGACTTCGCAGCGATATACCAACTGCAGCGCGACCGCGCTATTGCCCTAGGTGCAACCATCTTCGTCGCCGCATTAGGGGCGGTTGAGGATACCCCTATTGACTCGAACAACAAGATTGCGGCCGACCTTATCCAGGTCAGTAAAACACAAACTGGATCGCAGACTTCGACGTCTGGCTGTCCAGATCCGGAAAAAACTCCAGTAAGCTACCCACTGGCGTTTCCGCTATGTATGCTTTATACTGACTTTATCACAGCTGCTGTGTGCATGGGGAGGAGATGAAGAAAATGATCACTGCGATGTGGTTATGCCTAGCGAAGAGGGCGGTGAGGCCAAGTGCAGTCCGGTACATTTTTGCCAATCGTCATCGAAGGACATTGCTAACCAGCTATAGGACGGAGAATTCGCCGACTGCCCCTGCAACACGCCCGCTGGTGTTGTCGCCGACTACGCCGACGAGACTGAGCAGACCGCCGTTAAAAAGTTCACTGAGCTTTACAAACAGATTACCATCCCAGAGCCGAAACCGGAACCGCAACCCGAACCGCCTAAGGGACCAACAAAAGCGCTTACTATTATTGCCGACTGGCCCCCGTGGAATTTGCAAACTATGCGAGACGGAAGCGCCAATAAAGTCTGGTGGAATTTCTTCGCTACTGACTACGGCAAGACAATCGACTGTCGCAACGATCCAGCTCGCTATGATGCAGTAAACCTCGACCGAATAGCTTTAGCCAAATCCAAGAAGCTGGTATATCCAGGCGGCGAATTTCCGATGAAGTTATTTGACCAAGACTGTACATACAAGAACTCTGGGGACAATGTTGGAAAGCTCTTTTGTGGAGACAAAGCTATTGAATGTTTCTGGGACCCGAATAATACGCCCAGGGAGGGAGAAAGAGAGCCTAGGCCTGAAGACATGAAACAGTACCCCTGCCCTGGCAAGGACGGTTGGTTACGTCATGCCGTATTTACTTGTCCTTGGTAGTGATTGCGGGGATTGCGAGCTGCCGATGGGGATTTCGATCAGCCTGTTATCAGTAAACGACTACATGCATACGTTGCTTTTTTATGCTATAGACTAGCTAGTTGATACTTCCCATATATTAGCGGGCCGCGTTTAAATATGTAGCTTGTTCCTCTTTATTATAATCGCACATATACTTATGTGAGGGCACCTCGGCACAAGATTGAGAGCAGAGGGTGGATTGCGCCAGTGTACACAAGATAGAGTCTGCCGTGCAGAGGATGCAGCGCGGCAGACTCGTAGTGTAGATTGGGTCGGAGAACATCGAGGTCCAATCGAGGTGACGTGTTATATACTCACCTTGGCACACAGTCATCTGGAGTCTTGAGGGATGACAAGGAGTGAGACATTCTAAAAGATTACGTGGCGGGTTTGCGGCTTAGCAAACTCCACGTCCTCGCCCCGGGCTGGGAGATAGAGTATAAACTAACCCTACATCCCACCCATTCCACAATCTCATAATCACGAACTTTACGTTCGCTTATCGCATATTACCCATGTACACCTCGGTCAACTCCCAGGGCAAGAGTCCATTATTCTCCGTCGCCGCCGAGGTCCGTCGTGCGATCTACAACTACCTTATTCCCGAACAACTTCACCTTTTCACGTATCGAGACGATGTCAGATTATCAACATGTGTGAAACAAAAGGGAGATGACGACCCTGACTGCGTCCCGCGGAACCCCCTGGCACATGTGTCGAGGAGTATTTCAGACCCCGAAGATCCCATCTACGTGCAGCGGTTGCGCTCGTCATGGGGCGAACACTGGCGATGCGAAGAAGCGGCTCTGACACGAGATGACATAAATTTTAGGACAGTCGAAACAGGTTGGTTCGACCAATTCGTCCTGTTTCGCGTGTGCAAGCGAATGTAAGCAGTGAAACCACGAGTGCATTGTCGGTATTATTGGATTTTTGAACTCGCTGACATCGGCCGTCACTTTCTCAAGGTCCATGGAAATCGCATATATCATGCCTGAGGTCGCGACATTTCACATAAATGATCCGCTCACACTAAGGGTCCTGGGTTCTCAAGCTACTTCTCATCCCCTTACTATTAGTGCTGTTGTCGACGGTGTCCAGTCAAATCTCAGGACGCTACATATCAACCTGAGACTGCCTCTAGGAACATATGAACAGCTCGAAGATGTTTATACCTCCCCGGATTTCGAATCAGCACCGCTGGGCATAACTTCCTCAGTCATATCCGCCTTGATGGCCCTACCAACTGCTCTCACCCAATTGAGGAATCTGCAAAACTTGCGGCTGTGGCTGGATCACAGTGACACCGAGTCGTGGTCTATGGTCAACGAGAGGGCTGTTATAACCTCCCTCTTTCAGCCTCTTTGTGAGCAGGGTTCAAATCTGAAAATCGATATGGATCTTCCGAAGCTGCACCCCAAATGGGAAACATCAGATCGTCATTTTACACCGGATAGCGCGCCGCCTCCATTCCCAATTCATCGTCGGTACCGCCAGCGGATCTATGGAATGCATGATCAAACCGTGAAGCATGCTCCGGATTTTCCATATGTAGCACATGAGGCTTTTGTTATACAGCAACATGAGTTCCCTTCGGAGGACCCCGGCGAGATGGAAATGTATGAAGCGTGGGAGCGCGAAGTTTGGAAGAGAGGAGGTGATGTGGAACTCGAACTCATTGGCCATCAACTCGTTGGCGATCATTACCTAGGGTAACGACCTACGCTGCAAAATTTCCTTTCATATTTAGAGGTGGAACAATGTAACGAGCATTATATTACAGTTGCATTTTAACTTTCAGTGTCTCCACGCTGCTTTTCTTTTTTTCTTTCCTTTTTTTTAAAAAAAAAAAAAATAGAATCTTACAAACAAAATGCACATGGCTATTGTATACTCTTGACTATAGCATTTATAATAAGGACTACGTCTAACCATAGTACTATGTGTTACCTAGGTGGAACTTCTGTTATATTGTGCATGTACACGGTATAAGATGCCGCACACGGTATAGAGGTAAGCACGATATAGGCGGGGTACACGGTATAAGATGCCGGGGACGATATGGGTGTGCGATATAGATGCCGAGCACGGCATAAGCACGGTATAGGTGCCGTGCACGGTATAGAGATAAGCACGGCACCCTCGGGTATAAGTGATAAGCACGGTATAGAGAAGAGCACGGTACCCTAGGGTATAAGTGATAAGCACGGTATAGAGAAGAGCACGGTATAAGTGGTGAGTACGGTATGAGGGTAAGCACGGTACGATGGTGAGCACGATATGAGTGCTGAGCACGGTATAGGGTCACGTGCCGGGCCTGGTATGGAGGTAAGCACGGTATAAGGTGCTGGGCACGGTATAGAGGGGAGCACGGTATGAGTAGTAAGCACGATATGGGGGTGAGCACGACATGGGATGAGCACGATATAGGTGCCGAGCACGGCATGAGAGCACGGTATAAGTAATGAGCACGGTATGAGTAATAAGCACGGTATGAGTAATGAGCACGGTATGAGTAATGAGCACGGTATGAGTAAT